GAGTCATCTGTAGCGATCTCTATCATTCGTTAATATTCAGCTAGGATTTTTGCAGCTGAATTGAGTTTTTTAGCTGCAATATGTTGTAATTTGGCATTTGGTGGTATTGTTGTAGTGTCAACAAACTGTCTTGGAGTGGATGAAGTGGATGGAATGGAGGTTTAATGAGAACTGTTAGTTGAATCACGTGACATAAAAATTTTTTGATGAGAGCGAATAGTAGAAGGTGTGGTGTCATAATATTCTTGAATTTTATTTTCAATAAAGGCAGTATCATTTTTTTTAACTTTCTTTCAAGCTGCTACACATTCTTGCATTATTTTTTGATGAATTGGCTAAGGGTCATAAAGTATTGCTTGTTTGTAATATGCATTTGCATTGCAAAATTCTTGATATTTATCTTGGGGTTGCTTATAAAAAAAGTTTTTGTTAAAGTTTGATACTTTCAAAAAACTTTGCATATTGGTTTGAAAAAAAAGAATGCAAAGAAGAATGTAAGAGCGTGTTTTCACATTTTTTTCTATGGATTTTCAAAGGATTTTATACACATCACATTGCATTAATCATCACCTCAATGCATAATATAAATAATTATTATACAAATAAATCACGTCTTAATTCTTTTATATTGATTTTAGAATAATAGCAAAAAGGAATTTATGGATCGAATGATAACTTTATTTATTAATTTTATTTTTATTTATTTGACTACTTACTATTTAACTATTCTAATTTAACTATTTTATATATGATTTTTTTTAGTCAATTAAAATTGATTATCAGGTGGGGTGAGGGTTGGCTTTATAATAAAGTGAAATTAGCTGATTTCTGGCATGCCCTTTATAGACTAAATTATTTGTAATTTCATGTGTTTTTCCTTTATTATAACTATAGTTAACTAATACTTATATAATTAATAATATAATCTTTTATAAATATGATAATAATTTATTATAGTAAATACCAAATTTATATCTGAATTTTGTCCTTCTATTTTAATGAATTATATTTTCTTTTATTTTTTAAATAATCTCTTTAAATTCTCCAATTGACATATTTAATATTTCCTATTTATTTTAAATACAAGATGATTATTTTTTATTAGTTGTAAATCATTCAAATATAATAAAAGATTTTATATGTCCCTCAATTATATTATTAAAGTAATTGATATTTGAATGATAATTAATCATATGATAAATTTGATATATTTATTATATGCTATTTGATGATTATATTATGTCACAAGAACAAACTATTTATTTGAATAAATTTGAATTATTCTTTATTATCATAATAAATGTGACTATATAAAACTGAAGGATGAAAAGTATTATTTTACAAATATAATTTCTTTTGCAAAAAAATAATAACAAATAACAAGAATAAAAAATTTGAAAATCCATAAACACTATCTAATAGTGATGGCAAATAATCAGATCATTTGACTAATTTTTAAATAATTTCAAATAACCTTGAAATGACCAGTTATTCTAGGTCATTTAGAATTTAGATCATTTGCAAATGACTTGTGACCAAATGATTTGGATTATTTAAGGTCATTTGAGATCATTTGGGTCATTTACAAATGTTGATCTGAAAAAAAAGCTTAATTAATTATAGGTTTTTATTAGATTATAATCAATAATCTTTTTTTTCTTTAAATTTGTATTTGCAAAACTTTTTTTTGTTTATTTTTTCATGTCTATTTCTTTTTTTGACTAATTGTTATCTGCACAATTTTTTTTAGTAAATTATATTTAATAAAATGAGTAAAAAACATTATAATTTCTGAGAATTTTTTTAATTTGTCTAAGCCTAATAATTTAAGAGCAAATAAAAAGGCAATTTATTTATCTTGTATATAAAAACATATAATATCTGTTACTTTAACAAATCTTGATTGTTTTGTTTCAATAAAATAAAATTATACTGAAGTCATTTAAAGAAATGTTTAAATTTTAAAGGAGAATATGATGAAGATAAAAGGAAAGAAATTCTTTTACGACATGTACTGAAAGACAAAATAAATTTTCTAATTAAAAGAATATTATTGAAATTGAAGATAATAATTCTAAAATTGTAAAAACTAATACTTCTGTCTCAACTATAACTAAACAAATATTTTTACTAGCTATATATTATGTCTATTATCAAAATAGAATGAATTACATTTTGAAAATTTGACATTACATATAATTGTTTTTAATAGCCTTCCTTTTTTATTTATAGAAAATAAGGAAACATAAGATCTTTTTAAGTTTATTGCTTTTTCATTAAAATTTCCTAGATAACAAGCAATAAGTGATAGAATACTTCTAAAAATTTGCAAATTAATTAACGAATCTATTTTAGAATTATAAGTAATGATAATATTGGAGTGATAGCAGCTTTTGATAGCTGAACTAATATTAAATAGAAACATCTTTTTAGTATTATTTTTATTACTTCACAGTGTAAAGTTTTTATTTAGGAAGCTTATGATATTATTGATCAATGGTCAAAACTAAAAATGTAAAACTTTTTATTCAAAGTATTTATAGATAATGCTTAATGCTCTAAACAGTTTAGTTCAGTCCAGATTATAGGCCAATCTGAAATCGAACCAAAAATTTCAGTTCGGTTCAGTTCAGATTAAAATCTTAAAAATGCTAATCTGAAACTGAACTGAACCATAAACTGGTAAAATCTGAACTGAACTGAAAATTTCAGATTAATCCAAAATTCAAATCATTTGAAATAATAACTTCAATCGTTTTAAATGAACGATTTTTTATCATTTTAATCAAACGATTCTTTTATCATTTGTTTAGAATAATAATTTCATCATTTTAATTGAACGATTCTTTTATCGTTCGTTTGGAACAATAATTTCATCATTCCAATTGAATGATTTCTTATCGTTTATTTAGAACGATATTTTGATCGTTCTAATTGAACGATTTTTTTATCGTTTGTTTGGAACGATAATTTGATCATTCTAATTGAACGATTTCCTTATTATTCGATTGGAACGATGATTTCATCATTCCAATTGAACAATTTTATTATTATTCGTTTAGAATGATAATTTCATCATTCTAATCGAACGATTCTTTTATCATTCATTTGGAATGATAATTTCATCATTCCAATTGAACGATTCTATTATCATTCATTTGAAATGATATTTTGATTGTTTTAATCGAACGATTTTCTTATCGTTCGTTTGGAATGATAAATTTAATCATTCCAAATGATCTGAAATTTTCAGTTCAGTTTGGATTTTTTTCAGTTCAGATTAGATTTATAATCTGAAAAAAATCTGAACTGAATCGAAAATTTTCAGATTGAATTTTTGCAATCTGAAACTGAACTGAAGTTGATCTAAACTGAAAATTTTCAGATTAATCTGAACTGTTCAGAGCTTTAATAATGCTAAAGAAAAAGAAATTCAAATTTAATTGTTATATATCAGACTCTGTAGAAGAATATGTAGCTGCAAGATTAGTATTAAATATTAAATATAATTTAATACATTAAAACTTTATATTAAATAAATTTTAACTTAATATAGATGACAATTAAGAATAGAATATCCTAGCAAAATTTTTATATCATGCATGGTCTATCAAATAAATTTAATTGTTAGAGATATTTTTAAGAAATCTATATCTTACAGAATAATATTAAAGAATGCAATACAAATTGTTAGTTACTTCCATTTTTTACCTTATTTTATAGAATTATTAAGAAATAAACAAAAGTCATATTATAATCAAACTATTTCTCTTGTTATTTCTGGTGAAACTTATTAGAATAGTTTTTATTTTTGCTTTAATTTTATATTAAAAATAGAAGTTGCACTTGAAGTAAGTATTATTTATTTTTATTTTTAAAATAAACTTAATAAATATTAATTGATATTTATTTTGCTTTTATTTTATATTTTATTAGACATTAGTTATAAAGTTTCTTCTGATATATTTGAAATAGCTAGTAATTCAAGAAGTGAGTATATAAGATAACGTTTTTTATCAAAAAATACTAGTACAGATAAGGTTCTTCCATTAGATATTATTACAATAATAAATGATTCTAATTTTTACAACTTTATGAACTTCAAAATTTATTATTACCATTATGTGAAATATTAAACAAATTACAAAAGATATTGCATGATTATATGAAATTGTTCATTATTTTAGTAAGATTATTAAAAATTTTAAAAATTATGAAAATGAATCCTTTTCTAATCAAACGATAATACGTTTAGAAATTTAATAAGCACAATGGAAATAACCACTTCTTTTATTATAATTTGTATTACATCTAAAATATCATCTTTCAAAGTTTTCTAGTAGTTTAAATCTTTCTTATACATATTTTAAACAATGGTTAAGCTATTATTATCAAGTATGATTTGAAAAATCACTAACTTCTTTTATGTGAATATTTATCTTATCAAAGAGAAAAATTTCTATTTAATAATAATTCATATATTCAATTTAATGAAACCTTATTGATTTTTGGGATTTAACTAAAGGTTTAGCATTGGAACTCTCTCAATTAGCTTTACATTTATTAAGTATATGTGTTAATTCAACTTCAGTTAAACGACTTTGGTCAAGTATGGGTTTTTTATATACAAAATGTCAGAATCGCCTTAATGTAAGTATATTAATATTAAGCAACTATTTTAATTCATATAATTAATGATTATTTGTATTTTTAAGCATAAAAAGGTATTAGCAATAAGTTAATTACAAAGTGATATATTAAAAAAAAGAAAACGAAAAGAAATTGAAAAATCTGAACAATAATATAAAAAAATTCATATTGCTATACCAATATAACTATATATAGTTAGCAGTGATGAAGAAGAATAGGATGATTCTTTTCTAATTAATATAAGTGATGAAGATGAAGAAATAAACACAAATTTTAATAATAATTTTAAAGAAGATAATGAAATTCTTAATGTAGATCATTGGTCTCGAATAGTAGAAGATTGGATTAAAATGTTAAATACTGAAAATTGTTTAGATAGTAGTGATAATATTAATGAAGAACCCATTGAATTTGAGTTAGGTAGTCATGATATTCATTTAGCAGATGATCTAATGGCAAAGTGGAATTTATTAAATTTGTTTAATGATTCATTAGAAACACCCGTTAGTCTTAATTCTTTAACAAATTTATAAATGATTGATTTTAAAACTTTAAATTTTAAATAAAAAATATTTCAATAAAAATTTTCATTTTATAATTTTATTATATGTATCCAAATAACAAATGGGTCATTTGATCTTTCGAAATGACCAATGACCTGTGACCGGTATTAATTGCAAATCATATTGTACCTCAAATGATCTCTTGCTGCACTGAATATCATAAAAGTAATACATGTTAAACATGTAATACATGTATTGTTTGAATGACTTTATAATACATTTATCAAATAGTTTATCTTTTAATATAAATATTATTTAGTCTTATTTTCATTACTTATATTATTTTTATTATATGTACTTATTGAAAGGCGTAGTATAGTATTAGTTATGATTTTATATAAATAGACCTGTAAGTTGACCTTGAGTCAACAGAGTTCGATCAGATAGTTTTCTAAATAAGTCTTAGGACTAGACTTATAACTCTACAGTTTAATAAAGTTACTATTTTACACTTTCAACCTTCTTCTTGTCTTCATCATAGG